GGCGCAAAACAAAATCCCAACAAGCCTTCACCCGCTACAAATCTGCCTTCCGCACCTACACCTCCTCCCTCCATGCTGCCAAACAGGCCTACTTCTTGACCCTCATCAAGGCCCTCTCCTCCAATCCTCGCCGACTCTTCTCTGCCTTCAACTCTCTACTCTCTCCACCCCCACCTCCACCCAGCACCTCACTCACTGCCCTTGAGATTGCCAATCACTTCAAAAACAAAATTGACACAATTCGCAAGGACATTGCCGCAACTCACACACCCTCTCAACCCGTCCCCTCTCACACAGCTACCCCCTTATCCCCCCTCCCCCTCGACATAACCCGCAGGGACTTCGTCGCTGCTCAAACTCTCTCCAACCCCCTTCACCCTCACTCAGCTACCCCCTCATCACCCCTCTCCCACGGCCCCCACCACTGCTCTGACCTCCTCTTCCACCCCACCCTACATTCCTCATACTGAAGCTCCCCCAACACTCCACACCTTTGACCTTACTACCATCGAGGAAGTCTCCAAGATCCTCTCTGATGCCCGCCTCACCACCTGCCCCCTCGACCCTATCCCCTCACAACTCCTACGACCTTCCTCCTCCTCCATCCTACGCTCCCTCACCCACATCTTCAATCTCTCCCTCTCCTCAGGCACTTTCCCCTCCCCTCTGAAACATGCACACATCACCCCCATACTTAAAAAGCCCTCCCTGGACCCCAATGACCCGAACAACCTCAGACCCATCTCCCTGCTCCCATTTACATCTAAACTCCTCGAGCGCCTAGTCTACATCCGCCTATGCTCTCACCTCAACGACAACAACCTCCTCGATCCCTACAGTCCGGCTTCCGTCCCCTACACTCCACCGAAACTGCCTTACTCAAACTCTCCAACGACCTGCTAACCGCCAAAGCTAATGGCCACTATTCAGTGCTCCTACTCCTTGACCTCTCTGCGGCCTTCGACACAGTCGACCACCCCCTTCTCCTCAAAAAAACTACACTCCCTCGGCCTCAGAGATTCTGTTCTCTCCTGGCTCTCATCCTACCTGTCACAACGCTCCTTCAGCGTTACCTATAATGCTACCACCTCCCCCTCACTCCCCCTCTCTCTGTTGGGGTCCCTCAAGGCTCTGTCCTCGGGCCCCTTCTCTTCTCCATCTATACCTCCTCCCTTGGCCAACTCATACACTCTCACGGCTTCAACTACCACCTCTATGCCGACGACACACAAATCTATCTCTCAACCCCCCACCTCACCCCCTTGGTCTCTCAGCCCGAATCACACACCTACTGAGCGACATATCAGACTGGATGTCGCTCCACTTCCGTAAATTGAACCTCTCCAAAACCGAGTTTCTTGTCTTCCCCCAGCAGCCCGGACACCACCCCCCATTGATTTCTCCATCACATCCAACAACGCTACCATCAAACCCGCCCTGCAGGCCAGAGTACTGGGTGTCATTCTGGACTCCAACCTATCCTTCCAGCCCCAAGTCCAATCTTTAACAAACTCGTGCAGACTCCACCTCCGCAACATCGCCAAAATCCGCACGTTCCTAACCCCAGAAACCACTAAACAGCTCATCCACTCCCTCATCATATCACGACTCGACTACTGCAACTCCCTCCTCACTGGCCTGCCTCGCCGCTGGCTATCCCCTCTTCAGTCCATCCTGAACACGGCTGCCAGACTCATTCACCTTTCCAACCGCACTGTCTCCGCCACCCCCCTCTGCCAATCCCTCCACTGGCTTCCGATTGCGCAACGGATCAAATTCAAAATCCTAACGCTGACGTACAAAGCTGTCCACCATACTGCCCCGAACTACATCACTGACCTAATATCCAAGTACCGCCCAGCACGCACACTCCGCTCCTCACAAGACCTCCTTCTCTCTAGTTCCCTGGTCTCCTCCTCCCATGCCCGCCTCCAGGACTTCTCCAGGGTGTCACCCATCCTCTGGAACTCCCTGCCCCAACCCATCAGATTATCACCTACTCTCCTCTCCTTTAGGTGCACCCTGAAAACCCATCTCTTCAGGGAAGCCTACCCCACCCCCTGCTAACTTGCCGACCTCCTCCACTCTTCCTACCACTCCATCCCCCACAGCTATCTCCTCCTGTGCCACCACCCCCTCCCTCCTAGATTGTAAGCTCGAAAGAGCAGGGCCCTTGATCCCCTCATGTTTTGCATTGTATTGGTATTGTTCTGTCACATGTTCTGTCTCCCTTTTGTAATGTACAGCGCTGAGCGAACTATTGGCGCTTTATAAATACTGTATAATAATAATAATAATAATAAAATGTCTCAGATTCTTCACACACCTCTCCAGAACGTCAACTCCCTGTCATAGCAACCAAAGTACTCAATCAAAGTTTTTTCTCTGCACCTACTGTACCTCAAGACCATTTTCCCTTATATCCTCCAATACATCAGACTGCAACATCTCAGCTAGCCGCAGACACTGGTGTGCATTTAATAGACAGTCCATCACACTTTGGCACCAACAGAGTACCTCTTAGCAAATGCACTACTCTACAAACCAACATGCCAATGGACTTTAAGCCAGCTCCGGCATTGAATGCAGCAACATATGTTCCCAAATCACTCCACGTAAGTCCACCAACCATCACAACCAACTCTGTTCCACCTGAAGTTATGCACCCAAAATATGAAAACACGGACATGTTACAGTTTGCTAAATACATGCTCCTCAGAGAACTTAAGACAGGCCTCACTAAGTTTGATGACAAGCCTGAAAATTACAGAGGCTGGAAATCCACTTTTAAGGCCACAATGAGTGACCTAGACATCAATGCCACAGAGGAATTAGATCTACTCATCAGATGGCTAGGTCCCCAGTCTACTGAACGCATCAAGAGACTCAAAGAAGTTCATATGGACAACCCTGCTGCAGGCCTTAATGCTGCTTGGGGCAGACTTGAACATACTTTTGGCAGCCCAGAGGCCATTGAAGATGCTTTATTCAAAAGGTTGCAAAGCTTCCCAAGGATTTCTGCTAATGACAATCTAAAGTTTCAAGAACTCAGCGATGTTCTGTTAGAGCTTGAACTTGCTAAAGTTGACATCAACTTACCTGGTCTCAGTTACCTTGACACCTCGCATGGCATCAAATCTATTGTTCTCAAGTTACCATATGGAATACAACAAAGATGGGCAGCACTTTGATCAAAGTATAAAGAAAAACATAGAGTTGCCTTTCCTCCCTTTTCCTATTTCTGCAAGTTCATCAAAAGAATTGCAGATACTAAGAATGACCCAAGTTTCTCATATGGGGACTGTAACCTTCTCAGTACACTTTCTCCAAGACCTATGAACACACGTATGTCGGACAGAAACCATAGAGGTCCAGCGTTAGTGAAAAGGACTAATGTTCTGCCTGCACCTGCTATAGTTCTTAAAAAGACTGATCAAAACAAGAAAACTGAAGACCCAAATCGCCAATGTCCAATACATAACAAACCACATCCACGTAAGAAAAGTATCGGCTTCAGAAAGAAAACCCTCCAAGAACGTAAGGAACTTTTGAAGAAATTTGATGTTTGCTACAAATGCTGTGCCTCCACAGAACACTTTGCAAAGGACTGTAAAGCGATCATCAAATGTATAGAGTGTGACAGCGATGACCATATGCAAGCTCTTCATCAATATTCGCACAACTCTACTACGCTCACAAACAATCTTCCTGAGGCAAAGCAAGGCGGGGAGCACCCAGATCAAGCAGAACCTACAACCCCAGTGTTCTCCACATGTACAAAGGTCTGTGCAGAAGGATTCTGCGACAAATCTTGTGCAAAGATATGCTTGGTCCATGTATACCCCAAAGATCAACCTGAAAAGGCCATAAGACTGTATACTATTCTGGATGATCAGAGTAACAGATCTCTTGCAAGAACACAGTTTTTTGAACTGTTGAACATAACTGGAGATGCTCTGCCTTATACTCTAAGCACTTGTTCCGGTACTACAGAAGTCTTAGGTAGGAGAGCCAGTGGTCTTGTAGTTGCTCCTCTGAATGACAATGTGGAAATATCTTTGCCCACTATCACTGAGTGCAACCAGATTCCAAGCATCAAAGAGGAGATCTCTACTCCTGAAGCTGCTTTCCACCATTCTCACTTAAGGCACATAGCCAACCAAATACCAGCCCTCGATGAAAGTGCCGATATCCTCCTGTTACTTGGTCGAGACATCCTAAGGGTGCACAAAGTTCGTCATCAAATCAGTGGTCCACACAATGCACCATATGCTCAGCGTCTGGATCTAGGATGGGTCATCATAGGCAATGTCTGCCTAGACAAGGACACAGGAGGTCCTACTCAGTCGCTTCCTTTAAAAACACATGTCCTGCCAAATGGACGAACAACTTGTTCTGCACAATGACCACATAAATATATTGTGAAAGAAAGACTGTTTAACCACTAGCCTACAGGGCAATTATACCCCCTTCCTGCCCAGGCCAATTTCCAGCTTTCAGCGCTGTCACACTTTGAATGGCAATTGCGCGGTCATGCAACACTGTACCCATATAAAATTTTTATCATTTTTTTGAGACAGACAGAGCTTTCTTTTGGTGGTATTTAATCACCTCTGGGATTTTAATTTTTTCTTAAACAAACCAAAAACCACTGAAAATTTTGAAAAAAAAAGTTTTTTCTTAGTTTTTGCTATACAATTTTGTAAATAAGTGATTTTTCTCCTTTACTGATGTGCGCTAATGAGGCTGCAGTGATGGGCACTGATAGGCTGCACTGATGGATACTGATAGATGGCACTAATGGGCATGGATGAGGAGGCACTGGTAGGTTGCACTGATGGGCATTGACAGGCATCACTGATGGGCACTGAAAGGCAGCACTGCTACATGACACTGATATATGGCACTGATAGGCGGCACTGTTAGGCGGCACTGACTGGCACTGTTAGGCGGCACTGACTGGCACTGTTAGGTGGCACTGATAGGCGGCACTGATGCGCACTGATAGGCGACACTGGCACTGATAGGCGGCACTGATTGGCAGCACTGATAGGTGGCACTGATTGGCCTTGATAGGTGGCACTGACTGGCACTGATGGGTGACATTGAAAGACAGCTAAGATGGGCACTGATTTGTGGCATTGATGTGCACTGGTATGCACTGATATGTGGCATTGAAGTGTCACTGATGGGCACTGGCACGTGGCACTGATGAGCACTGACTGCTGGCACTGATGGACACTGACAGGTGGCACTGCTGGGGCTACACTGATCATCAGGGCACACCGATCATCAGTGCCCTGATGATCAGTGTACATGTCCCCTCCGCAGAGAAAGCCGATTACCGGCTCTCCTCACCTCTCGAGCTGTCAGCGTGACAGCTTGAGAGGAGAGAAATGCCAATAACCGACATTTCCGTGTTTACATGTGATCAGCTGTGATTGGACACAGCTGCTCACATGACCAAGTCGACATCTTCGGGTCTTTCCGTGATCCGCTGTGTCCGAGGGAAACAGTGCACCGGCGATCGCCGTGCTGCGCGCTCCCTTCCCTTCGCGCATGTGCGATGAGAACGGAAGGACGTCATATGACGTCCTATCAGAACGAGAAAACCACCTTGTGCCCTTCATTGTACTATATGGCAGACGGAAGGTGGTTAAAAAAGGTGCACCACAGCACATCATACAAGATAATAAGAAAGCTCTTAATTTCTGGGATGACAACATCGGCAACACAATGTTCGAGGTAACCACTAAAGACAATGAGTTAGCAGCTACAATAGAAGACAAACAATTCTTGAAAATCATGGGTAAAGAGTTCTACCAAGATGATTCCAATAGTTGGGTAGCACCTCTACCATTTCATACCTCAAGAAAGAGACTACCAAACAACAAGGTACACGCAGAATCACGGTTTGTTTCTTTAAATCACAGTTTGAACCAGAAGCTTGAGATGAAAAGGCCCTTTGTGGACTTTATGCAGAAGGTGTTTGAGAGAGATCATGCTGAGCCTGCACCTCCTCTTATGGAAGGAGAAGAATGTTGGTACCTACCATGCTTTGGTGTCTACCATCCTCGCAAGCCTGATCAGATTAGGGTAGTCTTTGACTCAAGTGCTCGTCATGAAGGTGTCTCCCTCAATGACAATCTTCTCACTGGGCCTAATCTGAACAACAATCTCATAGAAGTCTTACTCCGCTTCAGACAAGAGCCAATTGCTCTTATGGCTGACATTCAGCAGATGTTCCATTGTTTCATTGTCCGTGAAGACTACAGAAACTTGCTCAGATTCCGATGGTAATAATGATGTCAACGATGAAGTCATAGACTATCATATGAAGGTACATGTTTTCGGTAACAGTCCTTCTCCTGCAGTAGCAATTTATGGACTGAGGAAAACAGCTGAAGAGGGTGAGAAGGAATTTGGATCTGATGCAAGACAGTTCATCAAAAGGAATTTCTATGTAGACGACGGACTCAAATCTCTGCCCAATGAAGAAGAGCTATTAACCTTCTTACCAGAACCGAGAACATACTTGCCACTGCAAACCTCAGACTTCACAAAATCATCTCTAACAGCGACAAGGTCATGATAGCCTTTCCTTCTGATGACCATGCTGTCAGTGTGAAGAAATTCCAACTAGGATCTGACCTTTCTGTTACACAACGCAGTCTTGGACTGCTTTGGAATGTTAAACAAGACACATTCACATTTCAAACATCAGCCTGTGACAAGCCCTTCACAAAGCGAGGAGTATTGTCTACAGTGAACAGCATTTATGATCCGTTAGGTTTCATTACACCTATCACCACTCAGGGTAAGATACTGCTGAGGCAACTTACTTCTGAAAGCTCAGACTGGGATACCCCCTTACACAAGCAGAAACAACAAAGGTGGGAATCCTGGAAACAGTCTATAAAAGCATTAGAACATCTCCAGATACCACGCTCTTACACCCAAGCATCCTTAAGGAATGCCACCAGAAGAGAGATTCATGCCTTCTCTACGCCTGAAGAATGGCACTATGTTCCCACAAGCCTCAACCCTGCTGACCGTGGCAGTCGTGCAGTACCTACTACTGCATTTTGGTACACATCTTGGCTATATCCACCATGAAAAAAGGTTCTGCACACCCTTTACTTCAGGCCTATAAAGGAACTAGTACTTCTTTTGCCCAAAAAGGAAGACAAGTCATCAACTTGATTTAAAGAAGATATCGTACACATTGCTGCCTTCTCTGAAATTGGATTTTTCATGTCTCAGCCTGGACTTTTGAGACCAACATCTGTATTATGCTTAATGTTTTGCATTGTTTTCCCTTGTTCTTCCCTTCCCTCTTGTTTTGCAGATGTACCTGGAAAGAATCTTATTATTATATTGGACTTGAACTAACGTTTATTATAATAGAAATCATAGATTTCGACGGGGAGTGTCATGTTTCACATGACTGTCATATTGACTGTCATATGCCTTTTAAATGTTTTCAGTGGTTTGTCTCTGCTCCTCCCTTTCCTTTAGTTTAGCTAATGTTGCATAGATAGTCCTCCCCCTTCCCAGAGATGCATTGCAGTAAGCCTCATGGCATGGAGCGGGAAACAGCATGTTCTTTTGACCTATGGAATTTCATTGTTGTAAGATTCTCTCAGTTTATGGATTAAACTTCACAAGATCTACAAGATGTCATTCTCATTGAGTCACTGACTGTGGACCCCAACTGAGGTTGAAGTTATCGCTATCTCATCACAACTGTAAGTTACAGAGATCACACTATCAATGCTTAGATTGGATACACAGAACAACATCCCTGTTTTAGGTTTACTCCCACCTAGCTGCCAGGCTTCCAGCAGTCAAGACTCCCTTTCCCTAGAAGGAGGGAGGAAGATCAAGGGGCCTTCATTTCTTTCTTCAAGTGACACTGCTGACACAGGAAACATTTTTTTTTTCTTCATCACTGTTATTTGTACCCATATTTGTGCACTGATTTTAAACTCTTCAATCTAATGCAATGTACCACAACTATTGGTGCTATTTTGCACATACCACAAACGTTACATTGTGCCTCCTGCACTGCTATTAGCCCTGTCCCGTTCATGGGAGGGGGGGGGGGGAAAGGGAGCACAGTTTGCCATCTTCACCCTGAGCACTGGATGACCTTGACCTGGACTCCCTGACCTAGACTGGACTCATCAATGTAAAGTCCAGTTCTGCAGTGAACTGGAACTGAGCTAATGTGGATTCCAGCTAAATGGGGTAAATGTCAGGCTGCTCAGGTGGCTCCAGTAAGGCACCCTTTCTGTGGGATCTCCCACTCACCAATTCAACCCCTTGCATCTTGGGGAATCAGCACACAGCCTGACCGATCTATCGGTGGGACAGGGGGATCAGTGGCAGATCTCTCTGGTAACTGAGCCATAGCATCCTCTGAACTGCCCAGTAGGGTAGACTATGGAGCAACCTTAGCATCCCCATCCTCATTCAAGTCCTGTAGCTCCTCTACCAGGTTCAATGCCTCAAACAGGGATTACACCCTTTACATTGTGCCCAAGCATCCACCTGCTTGCACACCCTCTGGCATTTTGGACACAAAGGGCGCAGCAATCCGATGGACATGTCTGGGTTTGACAGTTGCCAGGAGAATGGTACTTCCTGACTGCATTGTGCCAAGTATAAAGTTTGATGGAAGGGAATTATGGTGTGGGGTTGTTTTTTAGGGGTTGGGCTTGGCTCCTTAGTTCCAGTGAAGGGAACTCTTAAGGCGTCAGCATACCAAGACATTTTGGATAATTTCATGCTCCCAACTTTGTGGGAACAGTTTGGGGCTGGCCCCTTTCTGTTCCAACATGACTGCGCACCAGTGCACAAAGCAAGGTCCATAAAGACATGAATGAGTGAGTTTGGGGTGGAGGAACTTGACTGGCCTACCAGAATCCTGACCTCAACCTGATAGAACACCTTTGGGATGAATTAGAGTGGAGACTGCACTCGTCCGACATCAGTGTCTGACCTCACAAATTCGCTTCTGGAATAATGGTCGAACATTCCCATAGATACACTCCTAAACCTTGTGGGCAGCCCCCCCAGAAGAGTTGAAGCGGGCGTCTGGAGTCTCACAGTGCAGATCTCAGTAAGGACAGCTCTGAGCCCTGATTGGAGTAAAGGGACACACCCCCATCCTCACAGGACACAGAGAGCATATAACTGAGGATGTTAATCACAGGCTGTGTGCTGGAGCTCTCCTTCCCAGTCCCTTTTTATATCTTGGTTTTAGAAGTAACTCATGAAGATAACAGAGAAGCAAAGCAGAAGAGAGAAATCCCACTCTTTGCATAGAGGCAGCTACACTGTATAGAAGGATATATAGTACTTTGTTCATAATTCATGTCTGAGGTTTACAACTGCCCACACCCAAGGACTGATAGGCTGCAATACACACACACACACACACACACACAACATATATATATATTAGGGGTTTAGATACACTTTATTGTGTGGCCCACAATAGAAGATTTCATGAACTTGTAGACGGGCGCTTACAAATGGGAGTTATTAGAGATTCTGGGCTGCACAGGAGGGAAAGGGTTAATGCCAGTTCAGTGTTTTCCCAGGCTTTTGCTCTGGATCCTGCCCTGCACACTATGGTGCACATAAAAGGGGGAAGGCCATGCTTAGGGAGGGCCCAGGGAGCTCACAGGAAAGGAGTGAAGTTCCACCCGAGAAGATGTGAGCTGCATCTACTCACAAGTTGCCTGCACGGGAACCTACCTCTTCAGGACTTGTACCACTTATGGACTACCACCTGGACAGCCAGAAGTTTGTTAGATAGTTAGGAAACGTTGCGCTTGGAATACAGTCTGTAATGCTGCAGAACCTCCAGTTCTTCAACTGTTTATAAGCCTGGTCTGAAGTTACTACAAAAGGGTGCATGAAGGATCCTGGTGTATTGAAGAACAGGACTTGTAAAATACACATGGGTAGAGGAAGGAGGCCAATACAAAGGGTTAATTCAGCAGGAAAAACAGGGGAAAGTAGTTGCCACGGGTAACCATGAGTAGCTAGTCAGGAGCAGTACCCAGTGCAGTTGACAGGTAATCCAGTAGCAAGGGGGTCAGTGTTCTGGCTTTGGCTCCCTCCCTAGCAGGTGGTTCCAGTGAGCAGTAACTGGCACTGAACCCTGTGGTATGGAGACCCCAGGTGTCTTACCGCATGGTACAGGAAAGAGAAGAGTTAGTTATGTGCACACATGAGGTCCGTGCTAGTGCACAGCGGGACCCCATTTTGTCACCTTTGAGTGAAATGGCAGAGATATGCTGGACTAGTGGAGCAGGCACAGGCTCAGTGGTGTCCCTCCTAAATGTAACATTCATGGAGAAAACGTGTGTAGTGACTACAGGATGAAAAAAATTTGTTTGGGTGCGGATTCATTTGTTGAGTCAACCATTTCATTTTGTCATATTTGTTATTTGTTAGAATGATTCATTTTCAGAATTTGTGTTGTATATTTGATTTTGTATCGTATATTTGTCGTTCATATTTCAGAAGTTGTTTCAGAAGATTC